GAGCCAGAAGTGACTGAGTAAAGAATACTAGCGTCCGCAAGTGAAGCTGACGAGCTAGAAGTGGTTGACAATACTTGGGACTAGGAGTGGTTGTGACTTAGGTGGTCTATAATACTCACTGCGAGCCTAAAGAGGCTGAACAAATAATACTTGTAATTCATTGATTATCTAGTAGAACCTTTCATTTGAGGGAGTCTGGACGTAGCTTAGTTTGAGTGAACCAATATAAAAATACATGTGCTATGATTTAATGTTTTAGACGCACTTTATTTTATTGATTTAATATACTAAAAACTTTGTCTAAAGCAGATTGTCTATTAAAACTATCTTCAGACGAAAAATCATACCTTTTCAACTAATTATCCTAAAAGAACGGTTTTCGCTTAAGAAGTATTTTCTCTTAGCAGATGATGAAACTCCCAGACACAAAATGATTTTGTTAAACCTATTCTGGGTAGCTTCTGATCAGCATTCGCTGATAAGATTTTACTAGACGAAAAAGTGTCTATTTGTGAAAAAATGTTTTTAAAATTCCTTTCTTCACACACACATATTCAACCCACCCCCTTCTATGTGTCTTTCATCTAACTTCATACAAGTGTCTCAAACACAAGAAAAATAAGTTAATTTAGAGATGGATGATCAACTAGAGGATATGATCCATGATGTTAGGATTGATTCTTTCAAACATGCACATGTGTTTGATAGATTGTGCAATGATGTGAAGAAACCTTTGTATCTAGACTACGTTAGTTATGCACAGTTTTGTTTGCGGTGTTAAAATTGTTCATTCTTTAACTTTTTCAATTTACCATTAATTTTCATAGGTGTCTTTGGATGCAAACTTGATCTTGTGGGGGCTTCCTCCGGTAGCTCAGAAGAAGCTTTAATATATTGCTTCAAAAATAAGTTAATTGTCAACCTAATAATACTTATAATTGAATTAAAGTATATTCTAACTATGTTTCATTTATGTTTTATATTCACTTAAATTGTAATGCCCATGTCAACCGAGTAATCACGAATGTGACTATTATGTTACCATTATTATCAGCAAGATTATGAATTCATGGAGGAAGGTAATACATTTTTAAATCAATTTAATTATTTTAAATAATTATTTAATTATTTAATGATCAATTAATATTTAAATTATATATATATATATATTGAATTAATTTAAGGTATTCAAAAATTTAACTCTATTTGTCGACGAAAAGTTGAAAGATATTTGCAAAAGATAGACATTGACTTATCTTGAGTCAATTTGAGGATTGATTTATCTTTTTGTACATTATTTTAGTTTTCTTTGTGTATATTGGCTAGTTTACTTTAGATTCATTGTTATTTGATAACAATGGTACATTCTTATACTAAATGTTCATTATTATTAATTTGTGACATTTATTGTTAACTTTAACAAATTTATTATTAATTCTCTTTGATTGCTAGTTATTTTACTTTATACAATTTTTAAATTTAAATGAAATATTATGTTTTATATAGGTTTGTATTGATCTAGATAACAATATTATGTTATATTAATCTACCTAAGTTGTATTTTTTCTATATAGGTTTAGGAAAATTATAAAAAAAAAAGTGTACAACATATTAAAAGAATGCATTTTTTTATGATGTGTGTGACCATACTTATCATAGAAAGTGCATACTCTATGGTAGGTGTGACCTTATCCGTCATAAAACATTCTATGATAGATAAGGTTAAACCCATCATAGAATGTGGGTGTCAATGTGATTAAAACATTACATTTGGTATCCATATTATGATAGATGTTGACCATTTGACATAAAAAGTGAATTTTCTATGTCACGTGTTGACCTGTCATAGAATGTGTGAACATTCTATGTCACTAGGAACTGTGTTGTGTCCAGAGCCGACACATAATCTACAAAACACCTAACATAGAAAGTCTCTACCACATTAGTGTTCTGCTTGGCATGTCCCTGAACCAACCCATACTATAAATTTTGAAAGTGATTAGTGAAAAAAGAACTATAAATAAGAACGTCATCAAAAGACACTAAACAAAACACCTTAACTATGGACAAAGTTGGTCATTCATGAGCCTTTCGAAGGAATAAGGAGGATTAATAAGCCCAAAGGGCATAACTGAAAAACTCACAGAGACCATCTTAAGTTCAAAAAGCTATCTTGGAATACCTGTAGGCTTGATCCGAATCTGATGATAGTTTAAATATGAGTCAATATAAGAAAATATAGTTATGCCATAAGGACTCTATAATCAATACAAATGCACCATGTGCCATTTTTCTTCGCACTGTCAAAATTGGGGAAGAGAAAAGGCTTATGTTGGGCTACCTAATAAGTGTTGATAGTAAGAGGTCTTGGATGATGATAGTAGCACAACATTCTTGTGAGTTGGGGGTAGTGGTAAGGTTTGATGTTAACTAGGGAAGTTTTGGGTAGGAAGGGTATATGATGGTCATTAGGTATTTTTAGGGGTAGGCCTTGAGGGCATAATGTACACTTGGTGAAATTGGTTTAAGAAGTACTGAATTTGAGGTTAGGGATGTGGGAGGGTTCAATTGAAAGATAATGAAAGGAAGCAACCATATCAATGTGGAATAAGTGAAATAGTTATTTGCAAGTGGTTGTGGTCAATAAAGGCTTATCATAATTAAGGGTATTAGAATATTAGTTGTCGTTAAAAGTCATGTAGAGAAAAGAGAAATCATAAATAATGGGTGAAAGTGTGTTGAGTCACTCAATTCCAAGGACCAAATCAACCTCTTGGATTGGTAAGAGGTAAATTAGAATGTTGAAGTCATTGTTCTGGATAAGAATATTGAGTTGGGACATGAACCAATGAAAATGATGTGGGCGCCATTTTTTGCCATTACTGGGAGGGTAGGGTTAGGTGTAATAAGTAGTTTGAGATGTTGAAAAATATTATGGGAGTAGCATTTGTTAACAAGGACAATAATAATAAGTCTATCAATACTCTCTTGAAAACCTAAAGTCTATGGGGAGGGGTGGCCATTGAAGGCCTATGAAGAGAGTTATAAATGAATTGGATTAGCCTTAAGGGGTCAGGAGGAGGAATGGTAGTGTGTCGAGTTGAAGGGGGAAGATAGTGTCAAGGTCAGGAGGGCTAGGAATGCTCAAATATTCATTTATTCTATTTTTTTCTTACTTACATATCATTTTCTAAAACTAAAATGTTCCTTAAATATTACATTAACAAAATTATAAAACACTTTAAAATATATTTTTTAGTAAAAGAATGACAATAAAAATAAACATGTGAGGAGAAAAATATACGAAAATTATTGATATGAAGAAATAATATTTATCAATATATTTCAAAGTTATCAATCTCTATATAATATTCATAAAACTTGCCTTGTTGCTTGAAAATGCAATAACTTACAAGACAAAATTTGATATTGTTCTTTGAATTAGAATTTTATCTCGATAATCTGCTTAATAAATAATTTTATTAAATGATAATGTGTATTATTAATGTGAAATTTTAATTCTTAATCCAAGAATAATATCAATGATATTTATAAAAAAATTATTAACTCAAGTGATTTGACACTTATACTTCTTAACCAAAGATCAAGGTTTGATCCCTACTTTAAACATGAAGTTACAATTTAAGGAATCAACTTGATGAAAATGAATTAAATTTTCTTATCAAACAAGTAAAAATACTAAAAATATTTACTGTACTACATCTAAGTTTTTATAACCTTTAAAATAATAATAAATTCTAAAAAAATTATACTCAAATATTTTGTCAAAAAGAATAAAAAAATAAAATATTTATAATAAAAATTATAAAAATAGAATTAGAATGTCCGTCTAGAAAGAAAAATAATAATATGATTATCATCATAAAAGAACTATAAAAAGATAATAGGATACTTTACCAAAAAAATTTAAAAATAACATTTAATTGTCATTATTTCTACGATCAAACCTTCAAATATAGACATAAAAATAATTGTCTTAAAATAATTGTCTGAGTTTTACAAATCCTATTTTATATTAAAAAGGTAAAACTAAAATAAGTAAGCATTTACATCCGTCCCTAATCACTACCAGGCTGGGTGTATGCACTATTTTTTAATACTCTTACGTTAATTTGTTAAAATTAATATATATTTTACACGACACTCATTTAAAAATAGAAAGAAAATTTTTTTAATAAAACACGAAACCATGTATTATAGCTGGCAAAATAGTAAAACATGTATTACAAGACTTGCTTAATAATCACATTAATTAAAATGTTGTAATTAATTAAATTTAATACATGTACTTTCAATTATTTATTAAATGCAATTTTCTTAATACTAAAACACTAATTAATGCACGGAAAAGGAAAACCCTGCTCAAAGCTGATTGACATTTGATTTTACTTATTATTATTATTTTTACATTCCAACATTTTTAAATACCCAACATTTCTCAATATTTCTCTCTTTTTGTTACATTACCGACAATATCAATAACTTAATTTTTTTTCTCTCTTTTTAACTCTGACAAGAGTGTCTAAAAGTCTTTTTCCTATGAAAAAATTATGATAATTAGAATATTTCAATGATTAATTATATAATCAATTATTATTATAATAGATTATAATCATAATAAATTTTTAGTTAGATAAATTTAATGAAAATTAATTTTGCAATATTTAATTTTGTTTAAATTAAAAAAAAACTAATTAATTTTTATGTAATAAATCAAAGAGAAAAAACTTGATAAATAATAATGAATTAAAAAATTTTCGTTATAAAAAAAGTTTACTTTTTAGAAAAAAATGATTTGCAATCTTAAAATATATTGTTTCATACAAACAACTTATCTCATAAACAGAATTTCAAAAAATAATAAAATAAAATAAAACACATGAAATATCGAATTATTAGGTTTCCACATGCTCAAATTATATAAGCCTAACGTTCACAGTTGTGGTGGCATCAAGAGTTCAAGGTCTAGAGGCATTGTGGGGTGCAAAACCCATTATAAAAGGCCAACAACAGAGAGAGAGAGAAAGACAGAGAGAGAAGACAGAGCATCCTCATAGAGGCCATTGCTCTTACAAAAAACAACCACATTCTCTCTCTCTCTCACTCACTCTTGTTCTTCATTCCTTTTTTTTTTTACCTCATTTTTTTCAACCCTTTATTTGCTTTGGTTCCAACCAGAGCTAGTCTTGGCTTCCACATAATAACTGACATCATAAGTATTTTGCTCACGGAAATTAAGGAGCCATGCAATTAGCAAACTAGCACCACTCTTCCCTCATCCATTTTCTGTTCCCTCATTTCCTCAAAACAAAGAAGCAGTGTTCCAAGATCTAGAAGGTGCAAGGTGTGTTCCTCTAGCTTCCTTTTTGCGTGACCCCGAAGCAAAACACATACTCCAGTATATCAAAATCAAACTACCCAAAAGAGAAAAGTCTGCTTCATTGCCAAAGTTGGTTCATTTCTTAAAATCCATTTCGTGGGGTGTTTGTTTGTTTGTGATTAGTAATATATAACCTCTCTTCTCTCTTTGTTGTTTTCAGATGGAAGCGTTTCAAGGGGCGAGGGATGACATTTCCTTCCAAATTGGCCTGATTTGGAGCCAAGTGAAGGAGCCAGTGATCGTGCCACTGCTGAGAGTGTCAGTGTTTCTGTGCTTGGCCATGTCTTTGATGATGCTGGTGGAGAGGGTGTACATGGGCTTCGTCATTTGCTTGGTCAAGCTCTTTGGTCGAAAACCCGAGAAGCGTTACAAGTGGGAGCCTATGAAGGACGACGTTGAGTTGGGAAATTCCATTTATCCAATGGTTTTGGTCCAAGTCCCAATGTACAACGAAAGAGAGGTATAACCAAAGTCCAACATCTTTTTGTTCTGTTAGTTTTGACGTATATTGTGTAACATTATACTTCTCAATGCAGGTTTATCAACTATCGATTGGTGCCGCATGTGGTCTTTCTTGGCCTTCAGACAGAATCATCATCCAAATTCTCGATGATTCTACTGACCCAACAATCAAGGTAATTATGTTATTCGAATTAATGCATATAATAGAGAACACACAATATACATTGATATATGATATTATCCATGATATATATGTGATTAATAAAATAAAGGGGTTGTGAGTGAAAGCAATGAAAAATTGCAGGAATTGGTGCAAATGGAATGTAGCAGATGGGCGAGCAAAGGGGTGAACATAAAGTACGAGGTGAGGGACAACAGAAACGGTTACAAAGCTGGGGCTCTTAAAGAAGGCATGAAACGCAGCTATGTGAAACAATGTGATTATGTTGCAATCTTTGATGCTGATTTTCAACCAGAGACTGATTTCCTATGGCGAACTGTCCCATTCCTTGTCAACAACCCTGAACTTGGTCTCGTTCAGGCACGCTGGAAGTTTGGTACTTTCTCTTTCACTCAACCCCTTGTTTATGTCTCATCTGCACCTTAATTCATATTCTCTGTAACCAAATCTAATGAATTTACGTAATAGTGAGACACGCGTCATTACCATCTATTAGTAAAAATTCACATTTACAAATAAATGAAATTAGTCTCAAACTTAACAAACTAGTATATCAATAAAAGAAAAAGGAAACTTTATTTGTAACCATAGTATATTAGGTAAATAATTTATTCATACTTATCATGATAATAATTATCTTCAAATTTATAGTATATGCTTGATTATAATCTATTAAGAGTTGAGACCAACAAGAGATAACGTAAACCTTACTATTTTTATTTCATAAATTTAAAAGTCGGAATAAATTTTAATTATTATATTAGAAAAAAAGAGTCCAGCATTGTCTTGAGTTTTGGTTCTAGGCCTTTGGCGGCTTGGCTTTAATTTCTTTTTCTTGGATTAACCATTTAGCCTTAATCCGGGGCCATGGTTCCGAGAATACAGCTTCGCTAATAAAAAACTGTCGGCGGGTCTTGTTTGTTTTGGAAATGTTCTTGTTTGGTTGGGCTGAGGTGGGTCCCACTTTGTGCTTGAATGGCCCTCTAGATAGGCCACGTGTGCGTCTCTTCCCGTGTTCGCCAAGACCAGCGTTTGTGTTCTTACTTTCTTTGTTTGGCTTGTGTTGTCTTCATAGTTCTGGAAAAAGTGGGAGTGCCATTAGTAAATCTCTTTTTCGATTTTGGATACAGTCTGTCATGTGAGGTCACCATCATAAATCAACTGAAACACATGATATAACATTAATGGTTTCCGGGGGTTACGAATGATTAAGAGATTAAGGTCAAGATAGTTAGATTTTTTTTTTAGTATATGACATGATGCATAAAAAATATTATTGAAAATAAACTAAATTCAGTTTGATAATTATGATATATATCCTGAAAAACAAGTGCTTAAGGGTTCATTTATGGCGGGAATGGGGTTAGTTTTCTGTGGCCGAAAAGTGAGATAACATAGTTGGACCACAGCCAGGAAAAAATTAGTGTGGGGGTTTATAGCCCCAGCAACTCAATAAGTAAAGGGAATTGATACGCAAAATCATCATAAATGTTCTTGAGTCAATAGAAAATACGGTGGTTCGCTTATTATTTTTATAAATGATCATGTAACTTTATGTTAGAGGTATAGTTAAAGGCATTTATATCTTCACCTAATAATTAGATCATCATAATAGCTGCCTACAAAACTACTACTATGTGCTAGAAAAGTATTCTATTTAGATTTATATATATATATATATTAATTTTACGCATATTAAAAAGTTAACTAAATATATTTGATTTTCATAATTTCATGTAAATATATTATATATTTTTAAAAATATCTTTAATCACATTTATAATAGATAGTGTTTCTATTTAATTTCCTATAAATATTTTTAAATTAAGAATATTAAATAAAGTTAGTCTATCTGAGTGTGCTATCTGAGTGGCTTTTAAGCATGTCAATTACATTTATGATCATGTTGAAGGAAACTGTGCAGTGTGCTATCTGAGTGGCTTTTAAGCATGTCAATTAAATGAGAAGGACACAATACTAATTCAAGAATAGACTCGAGCATGTGCATTACCAGAATTTTTCGGCTCATACCTTTTTCAAGTTTTTTTTTTTTTTTTTCAATCAAGGAAGTTGTAAATTTGTTTTCGACTATTATTAAAGTCCGAAACATAATTATTGTGGATTGTTGTGACCGCAAAAGAGGGCAATATTACTTGAAATTAATCTGCATGCGTATGTCATGGGGCACCTCTGTTTTACGAGGGCACAACACCGTTGTTGGTATAATTGAGGTTGTTGATGTCATGTCATGATTGTTTATAAGATGTTTATTTTCCTTCTTCTTTTCTTACTTTATTGTTTTTATTTTTATTTGGGAGTTCTCTAGTCTAGTACTAGTAAGCACATTTTTATTTTGTTTCTAATCTTAGAAAACACATTTTGTGATAGAAAATCTTCTACTACTATTGCATCCGGCAGCTGCATGTGCAAAATTTTAATGGTGGACCCTCATTTCGCAACTATTACTAAAAGGCAGCTGAATTGATATCGCACTCTCCTTCTAAATCATTCCCAATTACACCATGGAATTGTTAATTTCATTGCATTAACAATGCATTTTTATTTTCAGTGAATGCAAATGAATGTTTGATGACCAGGATGCAAGAGATGTCACTGGATTACCATTTTACTGTGGAACAAGAAGTGGGGTCTTCCACTTACGCCTTCTTTGGCTTCAACGGTAATCATCTGGTGCCAGATAATCTATCCCTAGAATACAAAAAAAACAACAACAAAAAAATGAAAACAATTTCATCCTTTTTGATAAAAAAGAATAATTGATTTTAAGTGCAAAAGTGGAAATGTTACAACCAATTTTTGTACTCATCTAAATGATCAGGGACTGCGGGTGTATGGAGAATTTCGGCTCTGAATGAGGCTGGGGGGTGGAAGGATAGGACCACAGTAGAAGATATGGACCTGGCTGTCCGAGCCAGTCTCAAAGGATGGAAATTCTTATACCTAGCCAATTTGAAGGTTCCATTTGCTTAATTCAATACAAGTCAATGTTGTTCATATCTTCTTCACACATTACAAAATTTCATGTGTGTATGATAGGACTTAAGAGTATTGATTAGTTGTTCAGTTGTTCCTATTTAGTGTTAAATTTTCATGCACGTGTATAGTTAATCAATCAGAAATTATACTGATATGACATAAAAAATTTAGTATACATGATTTGTGATCAGATGATAGGGTAAAACTTATTTTCATTGCATGTTTACTCTTCTTTTTATCATATGATTTTGTTGATATGGCATGAATTACATGAGTTTATTAATTGGACTACAGGTTAAAAATGAATTACCAAGTACTCTAAAGGCCTACCGGTACCAACAGCACAGGTGGTCTTGTGGACCAGCCAATCTTTTCAAGAAAATGTTCACGGAGATTATGAGAAACAAGGTAAGGTTGGTCCTTTGAACTGGCAGGACAAAAAGTATTGGCTATTTATGACCAAAATTCTTATGTGTCCATTGCAGAAAGTGTCCTTGTGGAAGAAGATATATGTGATTTACAGCTTCTTCTTTGTCCGGAAGGTCGTGGCCCACATCAACACTTTTGTGTTCTATTGCATTGTGTTACCTGCAACAGTTGTGGTGCCTGAGGTTGCGGTTCCCAAGTGGGGTGCTGTGTATATCCCTTCCATTATCACCCTCCTAAATGCTGTTGGAACTCCAAGGTCTTCATTTTTCCCTAGTTTTCCTTTCTTCAATAGTATAATCTATTTGCCTCTACGATCAAATCTCAAAAGATTAATTTGGATGATCTATAGAGCACATAATAAAACATATCAGAAGACTATCAGAATCGGTCTAGTGATAGGAGTTTAAGTAGTTTTTGTAGGATTATAAGTTCAAATCTCATTATGATCTATGTATACAAAATAAAATAAAATAAACACATCATATATAGCTCCTTGGTCATAGCGCATTTTAAACCATGCAAATGAAATGAGGAATTCCTAGGAATGAGGAATTACGACACACGATTGTTTTTCCACTCTTTAAAATCTTAAACATTTTGCATGAGACATTCCCAAATGGTCTAAAAGTACTTAAAACTTTAAAGACAATGAACTTGTTTACTCAAAGTGTTTAGCTATTTTTCAGGTCACTCCACTTACTGGTCTTCTGGATTCTTTTTGAGAATACCATGTCTCTGCATAGAACAAAGGCGACAATTATTGGTCTACTAGAGGCTAGTAGAGTGAATGAATGGATTGTCACTGAAAAGCTTGGAGATGCTCTAAAGGGTAAAGGTGGGGGTAAAGCACCCAAGAAGTTTCGATTCAAGATTGGAGAAAGGTATAAAGGAGTATTCTTACTCTTGGTTTCATTAATCAGAGAACATTATAAAACAACATTCACTAATTCACTTTTTAGATGATATCTAAGTGCTTAGTGCTTACCTATCTATATTTGTTGTCTTTGTGACCAATATCATTAGGATTCACATGTTGGAACTTCTAGTTGGATTCTACCTCTTCTTCTGTGGCTGCTATGATATCATGTTCGGCAAAAACCGCTTCTACATATTCCTATATATCCAATCAATTGCTTTCTTCATCATGGCATTTGGATATGTTGGCACTTTCGTTCCCAACTCCTAGAAGGACTTGACACACTTGATTCAGATATCTACATATTGTAATAGTGTTCGCAGTATAATCTGTGGCATTAGAAATTAAAGCTTGTGTTAGCATAAATGAATGCGTGGTCATTCTTCAAGGTTCCCATAATCAGAGTCCGTGACCCGAAACAGTTTTTTGTGAATATTCAACAAAGATGCATAAGGAAATTACGTAAGTTATTCTCTTGGAATTGGAAATGAAGCATACAGAAAATCGATACAGAAGTCTACAGGCATCAATCATCCCTGGGCAAACATATTTGATTGGACAGATGGTTATTAAGATTTTGTAGTTCTTTTTTCTTTTCTTTTTTTATTTTTATTTTTTATTTTATAAGACTTTTCCTTCTTTTGCCTTTCTTTACTTGAATTTGTTTGAAGAAATAATAAACAGCTTCCAATAAATGGGGTAGATTACAGAGTTTCAAGTTGAATATCCATTTTGTCTTGCTCAATGTCTTCTAATCAAAATTATACAAATTATAATGTTAAGGTTATAACTACGATTGGTTTATTAGTAAATGTAGAATGTGTGCATGATACTCATTCCTTAATATTAACAAGGAAAGTGAATATTTTAATAGGATTGATCTATGCCTGAAGGGATTTAAAATTCCAATCACCAACACTGGTATGAATGTAATTATGCATCGTCACAATGGAATTGAGAAAACAAAAAAAGGAAATTAAACTAGTGTTGGAGGTTTATTGTAACCAGTTAGTTTCTAATTTCCTTTTCTTTGCATCTTTTAATACACGTAAGTATCTCTCATCCAAAATTATATACTAGATTAGTCTTCATTCACTATTTTAAGTATGAATTTGGTATTCAGTGAATTTTATTGTGTAAGTTTTATATATTGTTTAGAATTCAGATTTGTCTCCACTAAAATGAAGAGTACACTTTAAAGGATAAAGTAATAATAATTTTTAATTAAAAAATCAACGATAAAAAATCATGATAAAAATATATATATATAT